TCTTGGTCAGAAGAAGAGAGAGAAAAGGCAAAACAGACAATGAAACTGGATTTTCCTCCAGGTGTTACAATGTTTGGAGAGGCTCCAAACTGGCCTGTGCCTGACAATCTCAAGACTGGAGAAGTAGAAAAGAAACTAAAAGTGTTTGATAAACCCAAGAAGTCTGTAAAAATCGACCTTGCCAGTGTTGAAGACCTCCAGGCCAAGTCAAAGCCTGAAAGTCCTCAGGCAAAAGATAAAGTGAATGAAACAAAGCAAGTTCCTGCAAAATATGACAAAGCCAAACGTAAATCTGATGAAGTAACTCCACAAGGAATGGTAAGGAGTCCTGCAATGCATGAAGGATTTAGACTAGAAGACTGGACACCTGTCCGGACTCCAGGAACTCCTGAAAGAGCCTTGGATTTTGATACGTCGGATGAATCCTGTTCTGAACTACCTCGACATCCACCAAAATCTCGGAGTCCGGGGAAAAGGGCAAAAGAAGCCAGTGGAAAGAAATTTGGAAGCCCAGGCACTGAAAGTGACCTCACAGCAAAGCAAGCAAGTGAAAAACAAAGTCCAGGGAAAACAATAGAGACCTCTAAAGATTATGAAGAAACAAGAGGAAGCCCACCAAAGCAAGTGAGACAAAGTCCAGGGAAGACAGAAACAAAGCAGCCAAGTCCAGTTCGCGAAACTATCACCAGCAGAACTGAAATCTCGCGAGTGCATTCCCAGGAAGTACTCTTGCGCCACCCTCCTGCTGGCGTCCACACATCAGGAAGTGATCCAAAGAAAAGGCTTAGTGAAATATCCATCGGTTCAACACCAGAAGTTACAGATGTTCAGAAGCGACACTCAGCTGAGATCCTCACACGGAATGTAGAGAGTCAGGACCACCTGAAACCCAAGGGACCTGTAACAGGCTACTTAAGAGCAGGCAGTCAGAGTCCCACCTCAAGAGAGAGACCTCTACAGCTGCCAGAAAACAAGCTCCTCACTATCGCTCCCCTGAAGGATGCGAGGAAGAGTGCAGAGTCCTTGCGATCACTGAGTCCAGGGTCTGACAACGTGTTCCTCAGTGGCAGCAGAGAACAGCTCGAGGACGACTCCAGGGGCAGCCTGTGTGTGCAGTGCGGAGAGAGACCAGCGTCCAGAGAGGGTACCCTCAGACCGTCGCCTCCTTCAGGACACACGATCACTGTGGAGCGCAGACTGTCTGACAGGGAGCCTTCTCGAACCAGGGGAGTCAGTCACCGTGCCAAGTCCGAAGAGAGGAACTCGTTCTCAAGGGATTGGGGGTAAGCCACGGGGTGCAGGCATGCAAGTGGGCAATGCACTTGATAGATAGTGAAGATAATCATGTCGTTGCTCTAGATGATATTGTTGATACTATGCTGATAATAAGATGGATATCTTTGGTCATACAGACATCAATGGCAATATCCTGAATAGTAGTTTAGAAAATGTAGATGCTATAGATAAATAGGTGATAATGAAAATGATGATGATAATGATAATGACGATACTAATTGCCAGGTGTAGTAAACAATATGTGCTAAATATGAGAACAGTAAAAAGGAATATGATGATAATAGTAATAAAGTAAATAACAGAGAATAATAATGATAATAATAACCGTTATCATTATGCTGACTATCACAAATATCGTATTTATTATCAATATCATTATTATTATCATCATCAACATTAATCTCATGAATCTAGACGAAGAGACAAACTTAAACCTCTTTGCCCCCCCCCCCCCCCCCCCCGCTCTCCGCCAGGGTCACGCCCATCAGCCTGGAAGTGGGAGACGCGCCCAGACACGACAGCGATGATGACGAAATGGGCGTGTACATGGACGCCTACAGGTCCTTCTCGTGGGTGTACGTCGCGCCCCACGAAGAAGCTAAGGTGTGTGTTTGTCTGTGTTTTTTGTTGGTTTCTGTGTGGGTGAAGTTGTTTGTTTGAGGGTGTATGTGTGTATTGTATGGCCATGTATGTGTGAGTGCGTTATTGCTTGTTTGTTTGTTTTTTTTTGTGTGTGTGTGTGTGTGTGTGTGTGTGTGTGTGTGTGTGTGTGTGTGTGTGTGTGTGTGTATGTGTGTGTGTGTGTGTATGTGTGTGTGTGTGTGTGTGTGTATGTGTGTATGTGTGTGTATGTGTGTGTGTGTTTATATGGGCTTGTATGTGTGTGTTAGCGTATTCGCCTGTGTATGTGTTTGTATGGTTGTATTCGCCGTATGTATGTGCATGAGTAACCTGATCCTGGTGTGGTTTGTAAAGGGAAATCACTTTAGCAATTTAGGTTATTTCAGTGAATATTAACGATTAAAAGTAAATAAACAGAATCAATAATGTTGATCATAAGAATTAATAATAATACTAAAACTAAGGAAAACAATGACTTGACTTCTCCCCCCCTCCCCCTCCCCAGGTCTGGCAGCGCGACGAAGGGCGGCCAACATCCGGGTCTCCAGACTTGCGGATCCCGGGCTTCGAGGACGCCGCCGAC